CGTGTGTATGTACTGGCGTGTGTGTGTGCTCGTGTGCGCGTGTGCTCGCGTATTTATGCGCGTGCGTGCGTTGGTCGCGCGTGGGTGTGTGAAAAAAATCAAAACTGCCGCAATTACTGTCTTCTAATTACAAGTAATGTAATATCAATGGACTGATTTCTCTGCTTGGCGAAGAAATTAAGCTAGTACTACTCGCCTATTTAGTATAAAATTTCCCGGCATATGTCGTAAGTATGTCATATGTGATTAAATTATGAAGTTGCGTCTCTCAATGTCACACTGATTTCAAAAGAATCGTCACATTACATACACTTGATATACGCGTGCTACGCACATACGCAAGTAACGGGGTTTCTTCATAAAAAATCATTTGGTCATATTTACACATTTTGCGGAAAGCGAAACCAAAGGCAATTGGCACATATTTTACTCAGTGAACTCGATAACTTGATTTAACAGATATCGGTTAGATTCATCAGCACCGATCGACTGTATATATTTAATCTCGCAGCATTCTAAATGTAGCACATCTCTACCCATCGCCATCATGGATGATTTGAACGGAAAGAACTGCACAATGAGTTCTATTCCGTTTATAAATAAAAATATCCGCGTTGAAATATATGCTAGGCGATGAATTAAGTCTTATCATTTCTTGTTAATGAACGAAAACGTAACACACACATCTAAGATCGAAAACTTAAAATGGTACGTTTGTGTGAGCGCATAACGTGATGGACTGGTAGTCAGTAGTCGTGAGTTCAATTCTTGCCGGGGAACAGAGTAAAATATTTTCTGTTAACTGTTGTTAAGCCAAATGTAACACATAGATTCGATCCGACCATATCAGAAATGGTGAGTTTGGGTACAAGCGTATCGTGCTGGGCTGGTACTCAATAATTCCGGGTTCAAATCTTGTCAATTACTACGGAAAGATATTTTCGAGATGTTAGGCGAAATGTAAACACAACTTGACCATGACCATGACTGTAATCGAGTGATGTAAACATTTTAAAAATGGCTCAAGGATATGGCCTTGAGCTCAAGGCTATGGCCTTGGCCTAGATATGTAGACATTTTAAAATTGGAAAATGTAATGGCCTTGAGCCCAAGGCCATGGCCTTGAGCTCAAGGCCACGGAAAATTGTAGAAATTGTAAAATGTAATGGCCTTGAACTCAAGGCCACGGAAAATTTTAAAATGGGAAAATTGGTCGAGGCCACGGTCAAGGACAATGTCACGGTCAAGATCAGGGTCAAGGTCCACGCAACAAAAACTCCTACAACAACAACAACAACAACAACAACAACTCCTACTCTGCTCTACTGCACTGTACTCTACTGCTCTACTACTCTGTACTCTACTCTACTGCTCTACACACTATTCTACTGCTCTACTGCTCTACTTTATTTTGCTCTACATGTGGAGTTCGATCCCCACCACCGCAACCAGTGATTCACGGCAATATACATTTTCCTGAATCATGTAAAGCGATTTTAGTAAATAATAAACACCACGGAAATTTTAGTTAGAGTATATTTATTACAAAACAGTTCAATCGTAAACGACGATATAGACGTGTGAACACATTACATGTGCAGAAACATGACATGCCAGCGAATAATTGTAACGATACTTGTTTGTAAAAAGCTAATTTGCTATGTTTTTTTTTACACAATTTGTTTTACGACCACTATATTACCTGTTTCATGCTGTACTTTAACAAATCTATCCACTAATAATATTTAAATAATGAAAATGTAAGAAATACATATAACAACTCTTTGTAAATAGAATACAGTTAACTATTGGTTTACGCGATAATCAGGTTGTTGATATGTTCGCGCATATAAAAAAATAGGTGAATCGAACCGATTAGGGAGTTAGGTTATTGATGTGATCTTCCCTAATATCGTACCTGTGAAAACTTAGTGAAAACTTCTGCTGAGAACAGTGTACGCCTCTTGGTATCAGGAGTGAATGAAAACGAATGATCTGTTTTTAATAATTTACGTAATTTTCGTTAATTTTTCGCAATGGCTCCTGTTGGTATGTTTAACTAGAGATCGGTAACCACTCAATTGCTGCTCGATGTCGCTTCAAAATCGTGTCGATTCTCCGTGTCCTCTCTAGTCCCTATAGGCCCTATTCATCTGGTTACAGCGAGGCGATTCGCACTGAAAAACAAATGTGATTGTTGGTGAGTATGGAAACTAGAGCACTAAATCGAGCTGTAACACACACAGATTTTCATTATACGACATATTGTTGTAATTGTTTGAAATTAACACACGGCATTAATTTTAGTGCATTTTTCGAATATAATTTATATATATACGGGCTTTATAATTATTCCTCACACTAGATGGCGGCAGGAGATCATATATTTACATATGCGCAACCACGGTTATGTTGCACATGCTGGCAGGGTACAGCGATAATAAAGTCCCTTTTACTTTAATACGAGTTATTAAACCAACTCTCGCTCTCTATCTCTATCTACCTTTCTCTCTCCGTCTATCCCCCATCTATCTGTATCTCGCCATCTGTCTCTCTCCCCAATTTCTCTTTCGCGCGCACGCGCACTCTCTCCCCATCTCTCTGCATCTCTATACCATGTCTATCTATCTATCTATCTCTCTTTCTCTCTCTCTCTCTCTCTTTCTGCCCCTTATCTCTCTTTCCCTAATATGATCATCTTGTACGAGTGGTCGGTCAACATACTATACGAGACACAGCCAAGTACAAATATGATTCTAAAATTGCTTTCGTAAATAAATTAATCCAAATTAATCTACACTTGCTTTGATTCTCATAACAAAATCCTCCCATTAGTCAGCGTACGTTTGATAATACTATATATACCACACAATCGAATATATGCAACATGTCATTAATGCTACAAAACACCAGCAGATATATATAGAGACTGTGCGTGCTATCGTACAGTAATACCCACGTGTAGCTCTGTGCACTTCTTAATATGTTCAACTGCAGATCGGTAACCTCTCAATCGTTTCACGACGTTGCGTCGAAAATGTGAGAATTCTCCGTGTCCTCCAGCCTGGCGATTGACACTGAAAATCACATTTGGTGTACATGGATTCAATGTGCGTTTGATGCGAACGTGGATAGACTCTACCGTCGATTCCACCTCATGGCCAAGTATTTATTACCATAACCATACAGCGTTATCTAATTATAATGTAAGTTTGTAAAGCGTGAATATGGTAAATTGAATTAGTTTAGGTATGCAGGTTATCCTGATTAACCGGATTACAAGATGTTTGCTCTGTTGACTTATAAGTGTGTGTGTGCGTGTGTGGTGTGTGGTGTGTGTGTGTGTGTGTGTGTGTGTGTGTGTGTGTGTGTGTGTGTGTGTGTGTGTGTGTGTATCTGTGTTCCGCAAAGCTAAGAGAACCAACAACTACTACCACTTCCTTTCTCCACCAGAATAACATACCTAATACTATATTAGAAGATTAATCTAATACTCTATCAGAAGCCCTTCATTATAAGGCACAGCTAGACTAGGGACATCTGAACCTGGCCCACATTTTTACTATATCTAGGTCTAGGTCTAGGTTAGGGATATATTAGCATTATGGGTATAGTTAGGGTTAATGATACAAATGGCAATTCCATGTTCTTTTGTTGTAACCAGGTTGAATTTTATTTATCGTTATTATGTATAAATATTAAATTAAACGAGTGAATGACGTGAATTAAGAATAAATCGTAGCAGCGACAGAAGCTTTAATTGTGTAAAAATATGTATTGTAAATTATAACCGGAAAGCTAGGACCTTAAATCTATCGCGCACACTTAAGTTGGAATCTTCCACGCCAAAACACAGAGAGAATATGGCTTCGTACCCCGTGTATTTTGAGCATAAGATATCTCATGAGAGAGAAGCCCGTCACGGCGTGGCAAAGGTATTCCAATGACGATTTATTTATATATGGCGGCTTTATGATTATTTCTCACACTAGGTGGCATTTACTCAGATATGCACTATGATGTCTATGTTGAACATACTGGCAGGCTAACTAAATCATGAATGCTCCTTTGTGTATAATACACAATAATATACAATAAAATAATAAATGCAAGTTTTAAACCACTTCGTCTCTCTCTCTCTCTCTCTCTCTCTCTCTCACTCTCGCCCTCTTGCCCTCTACCCCTCTCTCTCGCTGTCAGTCTCTCACCCTCTCTCTCTCGCTCTCTCTCTCTCTCTCTCTCTCTCTCTCTCTCTCTCT